TTGATTCCAGCCATAGCTTTGAGGCAGATAGCATGTTTCCGAGATGACACTGGCAGGATGTCAAGCCTGATGGGTCCTTCGGCAAATTCGACGCCGAAATTCCGGATTTGCTGGCAGAGGCCCACCACGTACCACTACGTCACTCGCAGTGCACGATGGCACGACAGCTCCTACTCATGGAGGCAGAACCTGGTGTGGCTGCAGAGATCGAAATGGCACCGGAGGTCTTGGGTACAGCTGGATTTTGAAAGCAGTCATGACACAGTAGCCATGGTACAGAGAACAGTGTGTCATTAACTTCTGACATGAGGACCTTGCCGAAGCCGGTATCATCATCGGCTGAGTGCGCGGCGATCGGGCTGGCGATCTGCTAGGTTTGGCTATCCTAAGCATTTATTTCGCGCAACTTAAGCAGGTGCCTGATACAACCTGCGCTCTGTTGAGAAGTCGAGATAAGTTAGGGGTGAGGAGATTGCCTTCGTGCAGGCGCATGGAGGCAGAGCTAAAGTACTATAGGCCCTCAGACCTGGAGATGCACGCAGAGATCAAGTTTTTGCTCATGCTGATGGGATGAGATTTGCAATGGCTCGGCTGAGTGTCTTCAGGTCACTGCCTTTCAGCCTTGGTGAAAGAACCCCTTTAGGCTCAGCCGTCGCCATGGTGGCGCGGGCGCAGGGCCGTGAATGAAGCGTGCGCACGTACGGAACCCTGGAAAGAAGCCGCTCCAGGACTTAGATCTTTGCAGGCGAAATTGAGCCGAGGTTCGTGCTTCCATGGGGCGATCCCTTTTGGCCTGCCAGCTGAGAGAATCCACGGCAGTACAGTCAACGTCTTGCACAAGCCGCGTCACCGCGAGCTGAAGGCATGGCTTCTGTTAACACACTTTGGTCTGTGTTCCACGAAGGACGGAGCGGGTTTGTCTGGCTGTCCTTTACATGGCACGATCCCGACAGGAGTCCACAAATGACCTGCGGTCCTTTTTGGACCAACTGCACAGGAACTCTTTTGCAGGAGACCATTTGGCAGACGAAGTGCTTTGCTTTTCAGGAGACTCTCGGAACAGCTCGAGCTGCAACAGCAACAGCAGGAGAACAGGCCTTGAATCCCTGTGTCTCGATGACGGATGCTACGTTACCACGGAGAGGCATGCTTGGTGCCACAAGAACCTTCAGTTCCTTGCAGACGAGGGCAAGCACGCTGAAGGCACAGAGTCCTCACGGGTGCCCAGCGGCAGTTGGATCAAAAAGCATACTCAAAGGCGGGTTCGGAGAAGTCTTTCACTGGAAGGCATCATCGAGAGTCTACGTGGCACCATTCGGAAACTGAAGAACACCAAGGCAACAGTCCCCATGGCAGCGCTCGTTTTCGTTGTGAGTGCAACCTGTAAGTTTTTGGGAGTGTGAGGATGAGAACATCTTGCTGGTGCAGCTCACGGAGGTGTCGTTCCGGGTCAGAGATTTCGAAGAAATTTCTGTCGCAGCCTGTCGCCCCCCAGGAGGCGAAAGGCAACGCGACAACACAGAGCCAGGAGCTCGCCCTGCAGCTTTCCACGAAGGCCGCCCGGCGATCTGGAAAGTCCCACGGAGTTCGAGAGCTGCGACAGGCGCAGCTTGCCGAAGCTCAGGAGCGGCTGAAACTTCGAGGCGCTGACATTCGCTCCGTACCTTCTCCAAACTTCTCGAGATGAAGGAACCGCCACTGGAAGCACGATACAAAGAAGCAACAATGAGTGATCTGAAACTGCGCATGGGCAATAGGGGGCTAGGGCCAAGCATCAGTGAACGGAAGTTTGCAGTTAGACTTTCAGAGCACTGCAGGATACTGCAGGCCTGGGTCAACTGCAAGCACTTCGCCAATTTGCCACGTGCTGTCAAACCTTCTGCGCAATCAAGCATGCGTTTCGCGAGTTCCCAACACTCGGAAAACAATTCGGATTGACCAAGTCCCTGGAGATCATGGCATGTCAAGCTGCGTTTCGCAAACGAGCGTGTTAACCCTGTGCACTTGAGAACTCAGTAGAAGCCTCAAGCCAGAGCCGGAAGTCATGGTTAACTCCGCTTCCTTTAAGCACCCTCTGATGTGCCGATCTGGGTCCAAACGGGCCCAAAACTTAAAACCGCATGCGTTCTGGTCTCGAAGCCCTGGACCTTATGCGAAGCCCGGTAGACGTGTCCGAAGCAAGGAGCAAAGCCGTCGCGGTTTTGCTTCTATTTGGCGGCAGGTGTGGCCTCGTCAGCAACTCATCGCTTGGCAGCAGCGTTGAGGCCACCCTTCTAAGCAAGGACAGAAGGCGGATGATGGGATCGAGAACGGCGCGGAAACACTGCTCCGTCCATGCAGGGCAAATCTGCGAGGCCGCGGAGAAGCGGAGTGCAGAGCAGCAGAAGGCGCCAGAGGGCAGTGCTTCCAAGAAGCACCCTCAAACACTCAGCAATGGCCGCCATGGTCTGCAGGCTCTGGAAGATCAGATCTCCTTGCTGCGGACTTCAACAGAGGCTGGCACTGGGCGCACATGAGGTTGTACGGCACGGGTCTCTGGATTCACAAGCACCCTTTTGGCCAGGCCATCTCTGCGGCAGAGGCATGGGCATCTGGCATGGCATGGCATGGCATGACAGGGCAGGTCAGGTCAGGGCATTGCACGGCAGCACGGCATGGTGTGGCACGGCATGACAGACTCCTGACGGAGGGTTCACAGAAGGCTTTGCGATGCTCGTTCTCTCGAGGCGCTCCATCGGATTGACGAGTCGAAGGTCAGGGATTGTGAAGCGGGTATGTGGGACATGCGGTCACGGTTCAGTTGTCACGATGTGATCCCTGCGCGCTCGGTTGTCGTTGGTGTGAGGTCAGCTCGAGCCTGGGTGAGGCGGGACAGCATGTAGCATACATGCTAAGTTCTGAGCAGTGCCTGAACCACAGGTGAGTTTCCTGCAAATGACAACCGAACGTGTGCACAACTTGGATTCCATACATCTATAGACACTTCGAAACCCTTTGCTCGCATTGCGAGGCTGCAGAGATTCCCGACCTCCTCTCCCTTTTCAGAAGGCAAGGGCAGGGACATGCTTCGCGGCCCACAAGTCCCAGTCTGTCGTCAGGCCAGAGCCTGCGAACAGCGAGGATGCGAACAGTGGCTGCAAAGAATGCGAAATGCCTGTGACGGCTTTCAGGACCTGGAAGAGCTGTCCCTACCTTTCCAGTCAAGGCAGAGAGCTGCTCTATGCTGCTCTGTGGACTCGTAGTTTTTGACATCGGCGAGCCTTTGACTTGAGCTTCGTAGGCCAAGCGAGGCTCATATGCAGGAGGTGCTCCCCGTCAGCATCCCAGCAGGTCCCATAGTATTGCAAGTCCGTGCTCCACCACGATGCCTTACACTCGTCATTCGTCCAGTCCGGCTTCGAACTTCGGGCTCCTAAGCCGTGGAAAAAGGCGAGGCCAGGTTTCCGGAACGTATCAGAGACTTTGGCCTTTGCCAAGCACGCCATGGGGAGTCCTCATGCGCCTTTCGCTGCTGGCTGCCTTGGGGTCTTCTGGTGCACACCCGTGCCATGGCCCACGCCAAGTCGCGCAAACCCTGCCATCCACGCCGTTTATCCCTGTTTGCTAACGAAGGCATGTTCATCGCCCAGCTGCCTGCCAGAATTGGCTAGACTGATTTGCTTGATTGCCAGGTATGTGCAACCTTTCCTTAAGGAACCTGCTGTGAACGTGTCTCGCACACCGCATTTCGACTGCTCCGATGCTGCTCTCGTGACGGCATTGCAGACCGACGGTTTTGCCGTGGTGAGGCATCGCTTTGGGTATGTTAGCAGCATCCAGGTGGACGGCCTGAGAATAGTGGAAGCAGTGTGCGTGCTCTTCAGGCAGGCAGCCGAGCCCGCAGACTTGTCTCGGGCATGGGATCTGCTGTGGAAGCTGATGCGGCAGGCTGAACCAGACCGGAGCAGCTTGATGGGGTAAGCTTGTGTCGGACAGGAGGCCGGTTGGGACCGACATGATGCTTCCACATGGACAGACGAAAGCCTGGCACGGCTGGATCCAGGATCTGCTTCCAATAATCATGCAGCCAGGGTTCTGTGGCCGGAAAACACTGGAGCTCGAGACTGCACGCGATTCGTACCGTGCAACAGCAATGTCCGCAGAAGGAGCACGGGCCACGGGGATTGGACAGCGCTTTGCTTTACTGCTGCTTGCAGTGCACAGATGCAGCAGGTCAGTCGGAATGGAGAGGCTCCTATTGGCACGCACGCCGGTCTTGTGGCTGCCTGAGGACGGATTTGGGGAACGGATGATCTGTTGACCTCCTTCGACGGGATTAACATCTTCCGGCCTTGGCAATTCGGCTTTGCCAAGACGGAAGGCGATTGGTTCCATGTGGACCAGGCTGATGCCGCGCTCATGAATCAGACGCATCGCAATGACACTTTGATTTTGCTGAAATGTTCTGGACGGCAGGGGCGTGGACGTCAGGGATTGCAAGCAGTACAAGGGTTCGTATCCCTTACAGACCAGAATGAATTCACCGGTGGCTTGTATGTTGTGCCTGGCTCCCACCGGAACCACAGCCACGTGGTTGCCTGGCAGGACGTATGCTCAAAAGGCCACCTCACACTTCGCACGCAAGAATCACTCGATCCGGAAGGATTGGCCATCCCATCGAGCAACTTCCAGCGACTTCTACCGCCTTCCCTGGTGGAGTCCTATGATGGTGCAAGCCAGGAGGTGTGCCATGGCACGTGTTGCACGTGTTGCTGCCAAGTACTGTAGCGAAGAGGCTGGTCCTTTGCCGTGCTGGTGATCTCGTGTTGTGGGACAGCATCGGTCCTACTATTCAAGCATTTTGGATAAAAAGCACGCAATTGAAAGCAAGGCCGCACTGCCCACTGCAGCGGACCAGCACTGCAGAGGCAGATCCAACTATCCAACTATTGCGACGCGTCCAATCTCGAAAGTCTGTTCCGCCGAACCGCACTCAGAGCTGAACCGGCTACTGCGAGCCGCAGTTTACGCTGCTTGGCTGCGGGCAGGTCATTGGCCTCATCTAGTGCCTTGGTCATCGCTGGCATCTACTGTAGTTCTGTGACAGCCTGTGGTAATCGTTGCTGCCTGGTCTGTCTGCTTTGCTAGTCTCCCATTGAGGAGCCCAAGAGAACGTCATCCCCCCTGAATTGGCAGCTGGAAGAGCAGGCGGTGTTGGCATGGCCGGCATCCATTGTACCCCTGCCTCCGTCGACTCTTTTTTGCCCGTTGGTTTTTGTGGATCCTTTGATCAAGGCCGCAGATGCAAAGCGGAGAAATCTCATCGGCTGACCTGACGCGATGTGTTAAAACATTCGCGTACCCATGCAAGACTTCTGGATTCTTTGCAGTAACAATTTCAATGACCTGCGTCTGAGACTCCAAGGCAATGCCACAGGACCAACGTCCGAGAGTAGTGGAGCTTCTCGCCAAAATGCAGAGTGACGATTCCTTGGAGCGCCGGAGCCTGAGTGCATGCCAAAAGCGCCATTCGCAGCTCCCATTCGAAAATCGGTCGCAAGCTTGCTCTGCTCAGGTTCCAAGAAAATGACATGGTGCAGCGAGGCGATGCGGCGATACGGAAGCTTCTACATCGGCAGACCGTCACCTGCACTCGTGGCACTGGCACTCGTGAGGAGCGCCAAAGGGAGAGAGCTAGCCTTGAATCGGCGCGGGCATCGGCGATGCTGTTCAGTGCAGATGCCCACGCACATGAGCACATCAAGGCTGGAGACGCGCCGCGCTGCTAACAAGTCTTGCCTGTTGCAGCTCGGCAATGCCTCGGCAGGCTCAGCTGCAGGATGAGCTGGACCACATGCAGAAGACAAGCGAGAATTGCGATGGGGTGCGGTGGGACAGGGCAGACAGACTTCAGGGATGCACTCTGCCAATCAGGCCCTGCGCACTATCCTTCAAGATGCCACCAATGTGTCCCAGGCTCGGAAAGGACTGAGCACCTGGACAGAGCCACCCTGGAGTTAGAACCTTGATCGTGCGGTGATCAGATGCACAGTGATGCACAGAAACTGCAGGTCAGCTTCAGCATTCAGTCTTGCACGGAGCAGTTGTGTCACGGCCGCGGCAGCATCATGAGCAGCGGCGGCGGCGGCAGCAGCAGCAGGAGCAGGAGCAAGCATCACCAGCAGAAGCACCAAGGCAACGCGCATCCAACAAGTATAGCAGCAGGTTTGAGACGCTTGTTTTGACCTTTGAGGGATACAACTACTAGCAAGCGAACAGGCCATGCCGAGTCAAGATGCGCTCTTGTTGGCAGAGCCGAGAGGCCTTGGATGGCACAAGGCAGGACGACGCCGTCGCTGCCAAGGCATGACTTTCGTGCCGATCACGGCCGATGCTCTGCCCCCGTCACTGCTTGAGTTGTGCTCTCTTCGTGCCGTGTAAAGGTGCTTAACAAAGCTCTGGACGGCCTTACAAGCCTTCGAGACCAATGGTGGGGTCCGAGCCTAGTGTGTGAAATCACGCGTTAGGAAGAGTCGAGTTCGACTAGGAGTAGCGCTTACCAGCAATGACTTACATGCGTCTTTATGCTCGGTGGGCAGCGACATGGAGTTGTGGGCACCTGATCCGGACAACTTGCTGGGCCCAGCTTCACCCAGGAAACGGCCCGGCACAGTTTTCCCATCTGCAAGCGCTCTTCAGAGATTCAACTCCTTTTGGAAAGGGGTCCGAGCATCAGGCCCCAGGTACCAATTTTCACGCGGTTTTGTTTCTGACTTTCTGCTTGATTGTAGCTGGAATTGGGCCTCGCCGAATGCACGTTTGAGGCGGTGAGAATCCGACGCTTTAGAGGATGTCCTGCAACATTTTGTGGACACAGCAGTAGCATGTGATACACTTATTGTAGTGGTGACGCTGACGATCGTCAAGATCCTGGCGCCATTAATCGAGGCGGCATAAAAAAAAAGACTGGCAATGGCAAAGTGGCAATTGAAGGTGAGAGACTCGTCAAACGGTCAGTGGAAGCAACAGAGTGTACACGGACAGGCTAGGGATCCGGCGAAAGGCGTCTGATGTCTCGGTGTACCGTGTGGCAGCAGTCCTGGCCGCAGACTGTTGCTTGACGATCCCACCTCCGCAAGTTCCCCTCGGAAGAAGAGCGAAAGGGGGCTCTGGAGGACTGCGCTCGCGCCCTGCTTACTGTTGCCCCGGCACACCGACCGCAGAGACGTGGTCATTTTTCACTTTTCTGAATATCGCATTGCCAATTGTGTTTCCGAGCCTTTTTATTCGCTGTCAAAATTTGAGCAGGTATTCTGTTACTCCATGATACTCCAGTGCGTCGTACCAGAGCACCGAGTTTATCTTATTTTTTGTTGTTGTTGCTTGGTGCAGAGTTGCTGCGTTCTTTCACTTGTGCTAATGGTTCTACCCTCATGAAGCCGTCTGCACCTTTCTGTTCTGCAGAACCTCGAACCAGCAGATGAAGCGAGTTGTCAACATAAAAAGCAGCTGGAAGGCTGCATGTCGTGTTCCTACTACCGGCCGCTGTCCATGACAATTTGCGATGCTCACTCCTGGGTTGCGAAGTGTCCTTTGTGCCAGTGAGGAGGCACTGTCTGCCAATTGAGGTGATATTTACTCTGGCAGGCTCATGCATCGACCGCAAACTAACGACCATTTGAGCATGACCTTGTTCTTCTTTCGATTGTCCACTTGCAAAATATGGGACACCTAGGCCACGACACGAACAACCCAGTTGTCACGGCCATGCAGCTCGGCAAGCAAGGACATGCTGAGGAGCGTCTTGATGCAGAAGGGATCGCCATAAACTACCACAACATGTCGTTTCATGGCTGTTGATGTCACGCAGATCTGAGGACGTCTTTGTCTGGCGTTAAACAATCCTTTGAGGCCCAAGCAGAGGCGTGCGAAGGCTCACAGGGCAGCAGTACTTCCAAGACAACACGCATGCTCAGCACCAACATGCTATGTCAATGCCCCGCTGGCGACGGCTTTGTCAGGTCTGCAGAAAGAGTCGGCCGAATCTGCCAAGGCAGTCGCCGAACGTGCCCGTGACCTTTTGGCAGCGTTGAAGCCTCAGCGGAGAGAAACAACGATGGACCTCAAATGACTGTGGTCTGTGATGCCCGAATAATTCCGACGGTGTGACTCAATTGTTGCCATGGAATTCCGTGCTCGTCCGGCATTGGCCGAACAGCAGCATCAATACGGATTGCGCTCCTGTCCTTGGTTGATCCAGGCTGGATGCAGAGGGGCGAAAGCTGGAGCTCATGCGTGACTTCTATGCGAAGCGACAGAGCCGAAGCACGTCGATGAAGGACGTGTACGACTCGCAGGCAACGGCGTAGAATTGGATGAGTATGTGCCGCTGTAGCATTTCGATCAGTCCTTGTGCCAGGTCATCTCAGCCGAGGCTTATTTGAGAAGTTGCCACCTGAGCATGGTGTAATGATCGTCCTTGTGCCCGACTTTGCATGTAAATCTTTCTGGAGCGTTCTGCGGACCGAGACCTGGATCAATCATGCGGCACGGGTGTTCTGGAGCAGCAGTCACATGAGACACAGGCAGAGACCCACGACCCACATGCGATATCGCAGGATCAGGTTAGCATCAGGTCATGGGAGTCATGGGTCCCTGCGGTCAGGCGGATGTGCATGCATTGAACGATGCTGATATGGTCTTCAACGGCCAGCCGATTAAAGTCCTTCGCTCGGCTGCAGCCTTGTGAGATGTTGAGAACCGGCTCTGACGCAGCGATGCCACATGGCAAGGCTCCACACCTTCTGCGGGGGTCTTCGAAGAGCCTGTCGTGCGCCTGGCATGCTTGGACAGGTTTCGGCTGATCTCTGCACTTCATGTCGCCTTTGCTAAGTGACCAAAAAGCGGCTTCGACAGGCCAGTGGAAGAAGCAGCACTGGCGATGGGGGTTTCGATCGACTGAGCCGAGCACGGGCCGGCCGGGGCCGGCCGGGGCCGGCCGGGCATGAGCGCGAAAATTCAAGCGTTCGTGTTCGCATCCCGCAGCTTCGCATTGCGAGCTGCTTTGCTATTGCTACCGCATGCTACCGCTGCTTTCGGGGCTCAAGAGTCCCGGAGCTTCGATTTCTAAGAGAAGATGGCTGACGGTGCAGGAAGTCAGGCTGCAGAGGCAAGAGGCAATCGTTGGAAGGGCTGCGAAAGAGAGCTCTGCTGGGAACTCTGAGAGACAATCCCTGAAGGGAAGATTCGTTCTGGATTTGTCGCGCTTCGGAAGCCCGGTCCGGCTGGACGTCACGGCATTTGCCGAGAAGGTGCGGAGCGACAAATGGCTGCTGCTAGCGGCATGCCTCCTCATCGACTTTATTGGTGACTGGGCTTTATTTGGGAAGGCTTTGCCCTGCCACTGTGCGTCCTTCATCCGAAAAAAATTCCGCAGTCAGCTGCGACGGTCACGAGTCGTGGTCGATATTTTGCAGGAATGGCCAGCTACCTCGTCCTCCTGCTTGGTGAGGCAGAAGGGCACGGCAAGCCCAGCTCTTCGATGTACGATGCATGGGGAAACTTTGTGTATGCAGACCGTTCCTTCCTAGAGAGACGCATTGAGGGCTTCGAGTCGCAGTGCTTGACGTTTCCGCAGGTCACTGACATCATGTGGGCACCCTTTGCTGGCTTCCTTCTGCAGTGCTCCGGAAGAAAGTGTTCCAAGAGGCCAAGAGGTGCAACCTTAAGCAGATGCATGGAGATGCTTCACTCAAGGTATCTCTTTGGCAGCTGGCTGGTCTCTTCGCTGGGTGCACTGGAAGAGTTCCTTCCATTTACAGACATTCTGCCAACTGCGACTCTGGCGTGGGAGCTTTGGCTGCCTGGGTTCGTTCCGTGGCTATGGATGTTGCATTATTGTTTGTGCACAGCTGAGGCGATTTGCCACCTGGAATGGCTGGGATTCCTACGCGTGCTTCTGGGGGTGCAGCGTCACTCATCACACGGACCTCTAGCTAGCGACCACAGCCACGATGATTGATGTGACAGCGCGTTGCGTCACAAGGGCAAACTGTTGAGACGACTTAGCCGGTGCGGCGGACGGACGTGCACACCCAAAGTGTACATATGTTACATATCTTAACACGCGGCAACGGGCGCGCTCGAAGATTGCGAGGACGCTGCCACTTGTAAATTCAGCATAGCCTCTGCTAGAGTGCGAGAGACGGCAAGATCGGTTTGACGACGACTGCGCAACACCAAGGCATGCATGACCGATGTGTTGTGCGTGTTTTGCTGATATGTTCGAGCAGTTGGATGCTGTTCGCCGGTACCTCTACAGCACTCTGAACCATAGCACGTGGCTCTCCCAAACAGATTCAACACTGCTTATCTTACAGGCAAGACTCTAAGATGAAGTTCCCAGCAAGACAAGCCGGCCCTGAATCTGCAGTAGTCTTAGTCACATCATGTGGATCGCGAGATCCCTGTGGAGCTGGCCTGATATTGGGGATTTTAGGTCGCGGTCCGATTTGGTCGTGAATAGTGATGAATGGTGTTTGAGTCGCGAGGCGACATGTGGGTTCCGCGGCGATCGCAGCCATTCCGCAACGGACATGCAAAGCAGGCGGGTGCCTGAGTTCTGTCAGAGCCGGAAAAGGATTATGATACAGATTCGGCATTCATGGCTTTCCGGTTTTTTGGTTCTCTTGCTTGGCGGCGCTTCCTGCCTCCTTGACTTTCCGCTTGGAATGAGTTGTTTCCGTGGCATGTCCAGCTGGTGCAGGAAAGGTCGCAGAAATTTATAGCAGCAATTAATCTTGATTTTGAACTGTCCCAACACGGGCGGACACGCTGCGACATGCTCTTCCCTCTAATTTGAGCATGTGCAGACTGAGAACAACCGTGCGTGTTGGAGCTGGAGAAGAACCTGCACGAAAGCCTTATCAAAACTTGTCTCGGAAACGACCACATACTCTACTCAGACATGGGAGTTGTTGTGCAAGACACGTGTGTGCGTAGGAAAAAAACTTAGCGTTCGACTGCCGAAGCTTTCGGCTCGACCACACTTTTAAGCACCTCTCGTCGCTGCCATGGCCTCCTCCGGTGACTTGGCCGATCTTGCCGCCGACTTCGCCGCGGCCGCCAGGCTCGACCTGGTGCACAACTCTACTTCGGCTTCTGCGGCTACTACATCTTCGTCTGGAGGAGGGCCCGCGACGGGCGACATTGGAGAGATCGCCGTGGTGCCCACGTCAGGCATCACGGCAGGTGACGAGCCAGGGGCGCCCACTTCGCCTCCTGTGGGCACGACCCCGTTGGATCCCTCGACTCGCCTTCCACGACTCGGCGGTCCAAACGGATGGGGCTATGTTGAGCCGTGGCTTCATCGCCGAGGCGTCTGTGGAGGTGCGCACGGCGGCCATTCGCGCCTTGTCGCCTGAGGACGGCGAGCGTCGTTTCGGCCCGACCGCACTTTGAAGCACCCACCTTCCTTTCCTGGCGGGGGCTCTTTCGACCCATCTTTCGTCTGGACGGCCGGCACTCGCCCCCTCGGACGGTGTCCGGGCGGGCGCAGCAGTGCGCACCCCGGCACCGGCACCGAGTTTTCGGTTGTGGTGTGCCCGGCCGGGAGCAGCTTGCGCTACGACCAACAGGGAGCCACTGCACCGTTGTAGAATTGTGTGGCTAACGCATCGTTAGCGTCGGGTTTGCTGTGCAACACACGTGTGTTTCGGCTCGAGCGCACTTTTAAGCACCCACCCTCCTCTCCCTGGAGGGGGCTCCATCAGTGCCGAATCAGTGCTGACCTTCGGAGATTCCGATTTTGCGCACCGTGCCGCATGCGTTGCCAGCACCATTGCCCGAAATACCGCATGTGCTTGCTGTTCGGGCTCTGGTCAGTTTTAAAGACCCCGCAGCACTCCAGCCTATCTCAACTTCCAAAGCCTCGTGGCATTGGTTTCCCCCTTCCATTGAAGCCTGCACCCATCTTTCGTCTGGACGGCCGGCACTCGCCCCCTCGGACGGTGTCCGGGCGGGCGCAGAAGTGCGCACCCCGGCACCGGCACCGAGTTTTCGGGCGGTGTGCCCGGCCGGGCGCAGCTTGCGGTGCGACCAACAAGGAGCCACTGCACCGTTGTAGAATTTTGGCTAACACGTCGTTAGCGTCGGGTTTGTTGCAATGCCCTGTAAGACCTGTTGAAATGCAGCAGAATCCGTGTACAAAGTATGCCTTGGTAACATAGCCACTTTAGTAACTTAGACCAGCGAGTTATAAGTTATATCCCGTAGAAAGCCCGGGCCTTCATGCCATACCGTCTTCAGTAAACATTACAGACAGGCTTAATTAATTAACGACTAGAAGAAACGCAGAGAACATCATGCCAAACCCTGAATTTTAAGCGTTTCCCAAGCCTGCATAGAAGTTTAGACAGACTGTTTTGACACTGTTGCAGCAATACTTGCAAAACCTTCCCCCATTACATCCCTGAAGTTTAACAAACCCTTCAACAAGCAGAGACCGCGAAACATCTGGGAGCCACGATAATCTCGAAACCCTAAATCCTATCTACCAGGAACCCTTCCAACATGATTAGAATGATTAGAACAAGCCGAGATTCAGTCCCAACAACCAAACTCTGCTGAAGCCCCAGGAACTCATAGAGACCCCACCAACAGTCCTTCCCCGGCCGGCCCGTGCGAGACTACTTCAGAAGCCATCTAGAATCTAGATTGCACAAAGCGCACAAAGCAAGCTCACAGCAAGTACAGCGACGAAAGTGTTGAAAGTTGCAGTTACAGGTGCCTCGAGAGCCTTTGTGTCCTTGACGTCGTTTTCTCGCTGTTTGACTCGGCCTGGGCCTGACACCAAGCTCTCTGCGTTCTGCTGGGCATCTCTGCCACAACCAGGCCGCTGCCTGCCTCTGTGGGCATTTTGCCCATCAGGTGGAGTGCCCGGGGGCGCGGGTTTGACCGAGGGGTCACTACACTCCATGCAGGTCTTGGCAAGCATCACCGGCACCAGCACAGGCGGTGCAAGTGCGGTCGTGCGCCGACGGGACACCGCACACAGGGCTTTCCAATCGACTCGGTGCTTTGTGATGCTGTGGTTGAGTGCGTTGTGCTGTGCGGATGTTCTTACCGACAGGTACAATTTACGAAGGGTGATCCCCTGGTTTCGCGTAAGAACAAACGTCAGGGTCTGAGCAGGGAGAATCTTGCAACACGATTTCGTGATTGCGCTTGAGCCTCTGCATCTGTTTGTGTAAATGGGTTTGTGTTAGTGATGCCCAGAGCTTTATCCTGCTCCTGGGCAGCCAAGTGTCTCTGTTAGGGGGTCTTGTAGTGACTTCGAGCAAGTGGAAAATGGCCGTGTGCTCTGGAAGCAGATCGGGCACATGCATGATAACCACGGAGCTTGCACTCCCTTCATTCCATTCCGACCCTGGGGAGCCTTGGCACAGAAGGTGAAGTTTGCTGCACGACCGGGCTCAGGTCCTGAAGCAGGAGACGAAGATGCGGACCACGAAGAACCGAAATCACGCGGAGGCGGCAGCGTTGAGCTTCAGAGCTTTGCGAGATGCTGCAAGCTGCACAGGTTCTGAAGCGATTCCGCTTGACACGTTTCGGATGGGAACGCCGGCGTGCACATCTTCGAGATGGGCCTTGCTGGCCTGTCACTGTTCGGCATCGCTGGCGTTCCCGATTAATCAGCTTCATTCTCGTCTGTCCTTGGTATCGCCACGAGTACTTCTGAAGTCTGAACCCGGCAGCCAACCATCCCAACGTTTCCCAGCCTTGGCGACTCTCGCAGCTGCCGTTGGACTTGATGCTCTCCCTCTTCATGGCAATAGAGGATATCGCCTGGTGCTGCCTCCATGTCAGGAAAAAGCGCAGGCGGAGTCCGCAACAAAAGAGGTGAACGACTTAGTCTTGACCAACGTGCGTCCATGCAGGCTTGCGGCAGTGCCGACAGCACTTCTGAGGAACACGAACAAGATAGACTTCGTCCACCGCCACGACATGCTCAAGATGGTTCGAACGGCCACGTGCGCCTCTGTTGCTTCAGCAGGCATTCTGCAGAAGTTGGCAAAAAGGTCGATAGGAATGACTGCTTCGTGCTGGCAAGCGAGAGGTACTTCAAATTGCGTATTCGCGATTTTCCGAAGGATCCGAATCCGAACATCAAATCAACTCGTGCAATAGTTGGGAGCCACTTCGGGTAGGATAAGGCAGCTGGGACCTTCATCAATCAACGACTTGATAATACTCTGTATGGCTTTTCTTTTCTACATTGTTAGTTCTTCAATCGACTTTGCAGTCCCAGCTCCTCAGCAAATCCAGACAGCTTTGCACAGCCTCCTCCAAACCGGGGAAAGTGGGGCGGATAGCAGTGCGAGAACCGCACAGGTGTACATAGATCAATTACAATTGGCATGCGGGCTTTGAGCCGCGACAGACAAAAGCGGCTTTGCCAGAGCGTGGAGCCACCCAGGGGAACATCTGTGCAGAGACGACTTGTTGCATGCTGTGGCGTGACGGAAGGTTCTGACTAAATAGGATTCTGCATTGTACAGTGTTTCGAGCTTTGTTCCAAGATCATGCCGATGGTGACGGATGCAGACGCATGCGGCTGCAAACTGACGATAGCTCACAAGTAGGGTGAAGGAGACTTGCAAGCGGTGACAACATCATGACATTCGAATATACATACATAACACACATACAGTCACATACATTTAATATGCAGATGTATATGAGCATTGATCTAAAGGTCCTTGTGTGGGGATGATATAAAACGGTTTTAACATGTNNAAGGAAAGCAATAATCCGCGAAAGTTGTGTAATAGATTTGGCAGTGGTGTAGCAGCAGCCTTTCGCGTGCCAGCTGCCTTCAAAGGCGACAAAGATCACGTAGATGCCGTCGCGCAGCGGATCCAGCCCTGCAGTCTGCCACGGCGCGCGACCTCACGACTCCTTATCTGGCCAAGCTGTTGAGACATGGCCACAACCTCAGAGACGGAAGCATCCGGATTCCAA